GCTAATTTTGATTTGGAGTTAGAGCAGCTAGATGTGAAGACTGCTTTCCTTCATGGTGATTTGGAGGAACAGATTTTCATGGAGCAGCCAGAAGGGTTTTTGGAACCAGGAACAGAGAATCTTGTGTGTAAACTAAAGAAGTCTTTATACGGGCTTAAGCAGTCTCTACGGCAATGATACAAGAAGTTCGACTCTCATATGATTCAGATTGGCTACAGTCGTTGTAAGTATGATTGTTGCGTTACTACAGAGTTCTTGAGGATAACTCATATATTTTCTGGATGTTGTATGTGGACGACATGTTAATTGCTACTAAGAACATGGATGAGATAGACAAATTGAAATCTTTGTTGAGCAGTAAGTTTGATATGAAAGACTTGGGACTGACTAAGAAAATTCTTGGCATGGAGATCAATAGAGATAGGAAAGCCTGAAAATTATAGGTGTCTCAAAAAAATTATTTGAAGAAAGTGTTAGAGAGGTTTAGTATGTCAGATGCAAAATCAGTTGCCACACCACTTGCAAATCACTTCAGATTGTCTAATAATCAGTGCCCAAAGAGTGAAGAAGATGTTGCAGAGATGTCAAAGGTACCTTATGCCAGTGCAGTTGGATGTTTGATGTATGCAATGGTGTGTACCAGACCAGATTTAGCACATGCAATCAGCGTGGTTAGTAAGTATATGGCTAATCCTGGTAGAGAGCATTGGAGAGCTGTAAAGTGGATTTTCAGGTACTTGAAAGGTACAATGGAGTGCGGGATCATGTTTGAGAGACAACATGGTGATATTTCAGTTCAAGGATATGTAGATGCAGATTATGTAGGGGACTTGGATGACAGAAGATCTCATACAGGTTATGTTTTCACACTCGCAGGTGGGCCCATATGTTGGAGGTCAATGGTACAATCACTTGTGGCATTATCTACAATTGAAGCAGAGTACATGGCGGCAACTGAGGCAGCCAAAGAATTATTGTAGTTGAAAGGGCTTGTCAGGGAACTTAGGATCAAGCAAGATGGAATGAAGCTGTACTGTGATAGTCAGAGCGCCATTTTCCTAGCTAAGAATCTGATATAACATGCAAAAACCAAGCACATTGATATGAGATTTCATAAGATAAGAGAGTTGGTTAATTCAGGAGAGCTGTTGTTAGAGAAGGTGCATACCTCAGAGAATGCAGCAAACATGATGACAAAGCCAATCACAATGGATAGGTTCAAGCATTGCTTGAACTTGATTAACATCTCTAACTGTTAGAGAGGATTTGTCCCAACCCATTGGTCCTAGATGGTGTGGTTTTTTTTCCAGGTTATGTTTTTTTTCTCCTAAGGGGTGAATATTCGTCAAGGTGGAGATTGTTGTGTATGTGGCTCATATAGAGTGGAACATAGATTCTGGATTAAATGGGCCGATGCCGGTGCGGAGCGGAGCGGAGCGGAGCGGAGTGAGAGGAGCAGAGCTCATCGAACGGAACGGAGCGGAGCGACGGCATCGGCCTTGCGTAAGTTTAATTCACTGTCTGGTTGTTAGGGACGCTGAATGCGTTGGGGGTACGGGGGGCAACGCCCCCACGATACGGTCAGGGGTATTTTCTGTACGGGCCTTAAAGTCTAATATGAGCGCAGGCTAGGGTTAGTATAAATAATATGTTGTAACCCTATTTTCATAATTGAATAAAGAAATCTTCGCTTCGCTCTCGTGGACGTAGGCACACCGCCGAACCACGTAAAATTCTTGTGTTGATTTTCGTTTTCATCTATTTAATATTGCGTATAAAATCCAACAGTAATATTGATGTTGTGTCTTCTTAACCTCATTGACTTGACATGACTAAACAAATCATTTACACGAGACTCAATAGGCATCTTATTGAATTTATTCGATTCGAAATAATCATCTAGAGATTTGTGAATTAACACTATAAACAATTTGAGGAAAATTTATAAATAGTTAGACTTGAGTTATGGATAATATTTATAGATCTATTACAATTGTGATTGAAAATAAAGTTTAACCATTTATAAATTGATTAATGCTTAAATTTAAAAACTTAAAGTAATTTGAATTATTCTAAAAAAAACTTGAACTATATCGAGTTGAGGATCCAGGAGACGTACGTACACCTTTTCCTTAACAAAGTTAAGATTTTTGGCTAGCTTTTTAGCTGCTTTAAGGAACCAAAAACAAATGGGGTTTGGTGGCCTAACTAATTTGAATTTTACTAAATAATATTAAAATTGAAAAATATATAAAACAATTTGTCTATCAATAATGTATTGCACGGTGTGCGCCATGTCAAAACTAACATTCTTTTGTCACCTTGTCCATCGGGGTATAGTTCAGTGGTGCAAAGGACAGGAGTGGGGTTATCTAACGCTTTGCTGACAGTCGCAGTGTGGGAGTTCGATTCCTGAGACATGGAATTGGACTCCTTGTAGGCGCAGTGTACATATAGCTCTTGTTCCCTGATCTGTTAGGGCACATCCCGCGATTTACCTCCTTCACAAAACTCTAGGAGCGGAGCGGTGAAACCCTCAAGGTTGGGGTTCAAACCTTTTTTTTTTTTTTTTAGAAATTTCAGTTTACATTTTAGCCCTACTGACCAAGTAAAAGCACTAAATGTCAGAAATATCTCTATCTTTCCAATCTGTACTCACTGCAGTCCCCCAATAAATTGCACCATTTTAAGCTTATTTGATTGTTTTCCAACTCAGTCTTGTCTGTTTTACATGTACACGGAATTAAGATATTTTTAGCCGTACAAAATCATATGATAGCAACTCATTTTATGAGGGATCTCTTATATTCTTTGTCAATAGTCAATATTGTTAAACAATTTCTTGTCATTGTGGGTGAAATTCTTTGTCGATAATCAGTATTGTCAAACAATTTCTTGTCATTGTGGGTTGAAACTAAACTACTTTCACCCAATAGACAAGGAGTTTCTCCTCCTTTTCTCTTACTCATCATGATATTCATTGGAAAATAACAAGATTTCGATTACCACAAGGTAGTGAAACAGCCAATATAACTCTTTAACACTCTTAAATAAAAATGTAATATGTTATTTTAGCAAAACAATTGAAATGAATCAAAAAGCGTAGGAATAAGTTCGATTAATATTCCTTTTATGTGGAGAGAGTGAAGATGCAATCGTGTTCTTCTTCGAGTAACTAACTTTCTCATATAAATTGTGCTTGTGATATGAAGTCTTCACGTTTCTTTTGTAATTGATTTGTGGTACAAGGTCCACTCTGTGTTGCCTTAATGAAGGGACAAATATCCTCAAATCGTTACCAGGATGGTCACGTTCCCTTGGATTTTATTAAGGTCTATTTTACGGGGACTAAAATCATATATTTAGTAGATTTTGATAAAATTGATGAGATATTGAAATGTGCGGTTGAAAAGTTGTGAACCCCATAAAAATGTATTGTTAAAATTAATTATTGACTCTAATTTATATTATACCAAGCAGGGGCAAATATACATTTTATAATGAGAAAGTAACTAAATTTATATTTAGCCCTTGTTTGATGGAAATTAAAATCAAAATTTTAATTCAAATCAAAGGAAATAATTAATTTTAACCACACTACAACTTTTCAACCAAATATTTTACCGACTTCATAAAATTATGTTAAAAATTTTTTATTGTAATTTCCATCGATTAGGAGCTGTATCTCGAGATTCTAGAAAGGGATTATAGAAATAAATATGCAATATTGCGTATCTCATAGGTAGGAGTGCTGCTGCGTAAACGTGGCGCGATAGGCACCCTACGAATATGTCCCCCTTGTAAAAATAAGGCCCATGTTGCCCTATTTGAGAAGAATTATTTCATAGGTAACTTGTATAAAAGTATTAACCAAACTACATAGCTTTGTCATGAAACTAACATGTAATAATTAAAAATCACAAATTCTATATGCGAACATACACTCGTCTCTGTTTGGCTCAAATTTTAATCAGAATTAAAGTCAAACAATTATTATTAATCACATTTTTTATAGGTCTCACAAATTTCAAAAACTTCTATCAAAATTTATTAAAAATCTAATTTTAATCCCCGACCTTATTTTCTAACAAATTGGAGACTAACACTATCTTGTCAAAACGTGTCACGACCTACTTTTAACATTTAACAAATAACTATTATATCAAATAAATCGAAGTTTGATGCGATCTAACCAGACACGTGGCACAGCCCACGTGTTACACAACAAATAATCATTATGTACTTATTTTCAATCTTGGTTCATGCGATCACACCTAATACTTGGGATCAGTTACCACATAAGCAATAATAATCACTTAAAATCTGAAAAATGAAAAGCACAAATCGAGATTCACGGCCCAACGCAGGGCAATTTGCAATGTTAATCACATAATCCATGCAGTATGCCGGCAATCAATCATCAGTAAACATAGTACTATAAATTAAATTATTTATACAATGACGCGTGTTTTTGAGAGAGAGAGAGAGACGCACAGTATGATGCGACTATAATTGGCGTCTTTTTAGCAATCTGTTTCTTTCAGAAGTTGACCCCATCTTACTTTCTCCAATCCCCACCTTAAAAAATCTTGTTTTCTTTAAAGGGCCTTCAGTATTTCGCTCGGGATTATGGATTTAGCTCAAAGTTAGAAAAATTGATTATTCCACTCTATTTATTGCTGTAAGTATGCCCAATAAACTGAAAATTATATACAGTTCTAATTTTAGGTTTCTGTTTGATGGATTTTCTATTTGAATGAAACAATAACAGATCTGTGTTCTGTATGTGAATCTTGACTGGTTTTCAATGAAGGGTTGGTCGATCTTTTTATGTTTTCTTTTAAGCTTCCATTATTGACTGTGTTGTTAAATCTTATCCTCTGAGTGCGTGCAATTTCGACTTTATGAACAGCACTATAATTTTTCCAAGGGTGCATGAAACTTTAACCTATCCTTTTTATTCTGCCTTTTTCAAATTCTGCACCGAGCACACCAAGAAAGTTCTAACTTTATGGAATGAATATGTTCTTGATAGTGTTACAGGGAGAGAGATTTGATGTAAATTTCTTTGAAACAGGTGTAGAGAAGAAGATTCCAAGGCTGTCTGTTTTAGTATTAGTTTTTACCCAATTTTTGATTATTTGGGTAGGTGCAAGTGAGAATCAAATAAAGAGTGGGGAGAGGGAAAAAATACTGTTGAACTATCTAACAAAGCAGGAATTTAGAAGTGCTTCAATTTTATGGCAATTTTCTTTGATTAGTAGTTTGCAATTTGAATAATTTCCATAGAGAAGAGATCAAGAAAGGAAGAAACTTGGTTCTGTAAAACATTCTTTTGCAGTTATCAGATCTTGGTCTCTAAGACCCTAGGTTCATAGTTGAGAGAATATGGGTTCTTTTCGTGGGCATGTTCTTCCGGGGACACTGTTTCTTTTGGTTGGGGTGTGGCACATGTGGAGTTGTATAGTCAGATATGTATCGTATCCTAAATCTTTTCAGGTCAGGGTGTGGAACCCTGTTCCTGGTTTTGATGGACGGCTTAAGTACTTGGAGCTTTATCTCATAACAGTTGGAGGTTTCATAGATTTGTGTATTGAGTTTCTATATTCGACTCATCTCCATATCTTCGTCCATGGAGTCTTGAACCCTTCTCACATGAATAACTTCGAGCACTCGGGGATGCTCCTCATGTTCTTCATCTTCGGTGTAATCACACTGCTTTCTGAGAAAACGAGGTGAGTTCTTAAACTTAATGGAACTCTTTAATTTTTAACTGTTTGAATTCTAATGTAGGGAAAGAAATAAAGATTAGCTTCTTTTTTCTATGTTTGAAATTTGGTAGATCTCAATTCTTTACCTAGCTTTAGTAGAACTTTTGGCACGTCTAGTTGTACCATTCTTTTTCTAGTAATTACTCCAAAAAGTGCGTAGGCTCGATATATAATTTCCTTTTATGTTCCTGCATTCCTAGAAACATCAATGAGGCCTTTTTTTACCTTCAAATACTCATGACAACAAGCACTTCAAATGAGCATGATAGGATAATCAAGCCACTTTCTGAGGGTACTGATAATTAGTGGAACCATCAAATGAAGTTTTCATATATATATATAAACTATGTTCTATTTTCTGCTTCTATCCTTTTTAAGGTGGATTGGTAATGTCAATAGAGTTTATATGATTCTTATTTTGGAGCATGTTATTTCGTACATAATTGCAACTGCATCTTATCGTACTTCGTTTGTGTTGTTTCATGACATTCTTTAAAGGGTATTTCTTTGTTCGGAAAATTAAAGTAAAACACTTAGGTAACTAATACGCCTTCCAATTTTCCTTAAAATCACTAGACTATTAGCAAGAAGAAGAAAACTTGCTTTCATTTCTCAAAATGCTACTAGTTGAAAGTGGAAACATTGGGTTAAAGCAGTTCTAGGTCTGAATAAAGTGGTATATCGACTGAAAACCTGACTGATGTGTGCAACTCAAGGCCATGAAGCGAGAGAGATTCCTGAACTAGCTAATTATTTTAGTTCTTGACAATTATACACTTGCACCTTTTGTTCACTAGTCACTTGCAATAAACAAACAAAATTATTTCAGACGATTAATAAATTTCAAACTCTGTTTGCCATCGAAAACACAGAATGCAAGTGTTGGATTTCTAAAGTGTGGCAAATTCGTTTCTTTGAATTAAGTTAGGGGAGCGTAAACTTCTGTATATAGCAACTCTTAAGGTAGCCTTCACAATCTAAGATCTGAAAGCTTGAAGTCTTTAGAGTTGGATTTTTTACTTCGATCAGCATACCTTCCTAACAGATTGTTCTGGTATTTTTATGCTCTGTAGCTAAACTGCGTGAATGTCAACATATCAATGCTAAAATCCTATAGCTTAATTGTTCACTGACACTATCGTGAGTCAGTTCATCAGTTCATTAGAACATGATTTCTTTTCGTTTTTGTCAAATTATTTTTATCCTGACTAGCACTTAATTTTCTCTTTTCTCAGCTTTCTTCCCTTGCCGGAGGGAGCTTTGTGTTTAATTGCTTCCGCAGCATTCACCGCAGAGTACCTTCTATTCTATTTCCACTCAACTACCCATAAAGGCCTCGAGGGATATTATCACCTTATCCTCGTCCTCCTTATCGGCCTCTGTATTGTATCAATTATTGCCGGAGCCCTCATCCCAACGAGTTTCCCTGTCGATTTATGCAGTGGCATTGCTATAACACTCCAAGGCCTTTGGTTCTATCAGACTGCATTCACTCTTTATGGACCAATGATGCCGGATGGTTGCTCGCTCAAGGGTAACGAGATTACATGCCATTCAGCAGAACAAGAAATCCACGGAGAATTGCTCGCTAATGTACAGCTATTTGGCCTAGTTCTCGGTGTTCTTGCTGCTGTTACGGGAGCGTATATCTACGCAGAGCCAAAATATGGTCGTTTGAATCTTAACAACTCCCAGATTCCCGAGGATGGATGAGATGAGAGCGAGTTCAACGTTCCTAGCCACGTTTATTTTTTACACTATAGTGCATTTTTCATTAATTTGTTTGGATTTGTATACTTGTTGTAGGTATTTTCGAACATTATTCAACCCTTGCTGTCCAACCTGAAAATAGACAATTAATATGTTCCACTTATTAAACAGGGTTCTATGGTCGGTCTGTCCATGACCCTTGGATGCCAAAGGCGCCCTTGAAGTGATCTCGTAGTTCCTACAGGGTGGAAACAATGTGGTCATTCCATGGATTTTCTTTCCTTTTCTTTTGCCACAATCCATTGAAATGGTCAATTCTGTAATGTATAGGGAATTGATATACACATATATAAAGAGAACGCCGATTTGCAAGCTGACCTAAGAATAGAAATTTGTTTGAACTTGGAATTTGAATTTTGAGAAACTTGAAAATGTGACTTCTAGAATTCTTCAGTTGCTGGCCAGCCAACTTATAGTTTTGTTTCATTTTAGTCACTGACCATTTTTTTTTTCTTAATTTTGTTCTATGTTCATAGCTAAACTTTTATTTTATATAAGTGTAGGCATTCGGTCTATCTCCCTCTGTTGAATTAATAGAAATAACCACGTGGTGCATACTTTTGTAGTAGACAAAACATGTATTGTTGGATAAATTGTGCTTTCTATCGTATTTTAACTTCTTTTTATTTATTTATTTATGAAAGTGTATTTGAAAGCAGATACGACTTGTTCAAAAACATACATTTTGATGTAGCGAGACGATAAAAGTAATAACTCACTAACAATTTTTATATACCAATTACATTATCATCATTTTGTTAGTTCTGTCAATTCAATGTCAAGATGTGCCTCAATTGAAAGAAAGATAAAAGTTTAGGCGCCAGCAAGGAAAGGATTCATTGTCACTTAGATTGATAATGATCATCACCGATAATGGATAGCATTTTTCTAATTAGTTAGTAAAAACAAAGGCAAAATACTATTGACAATTGTCAAGGTGTTTTGCACAAATTTAAATGTCTATTAAAATGATAATACTAATCAAAAGTTAACAACAAACTACGTCTTGAAGAACAATTTTTTTTATTCCTTTCTTAGTACTATAAGCTGCTTTTAAGTGGATTAATAAAACTTATTTTTGTTTTTGTTATTTGATTCCTAGTTCAATTCATCAAATTAAATCAAGGGAAAATCTGGAATTCTAAAGTAATTGCAAGAATCATTAAAATATGGCTAAAATATTCGTAAATAGTGTTTAATAACTAGACTATATTTTAATTGCACTAAAAGTTCATGATTTTTAAACATTATCACACTTATGTCTCAATCTTTTTTTCATTGTATTCGTACAATCAATTTAATATAAATTATTCATAGTTATTGTTTCTCACCAACTTTTCTTTACGATGTAGTAAAAAGACTCATTTGCTCATTGAATTTTTAAATAAGCAACATAAATAATAATAATAATAATAATAATAATAATAATAATAATAATAATAATAATAATAATAATATTAAATACTTGACCCCCTATTATGAAGCACGTCAACAATATTTTTCGAAGAAAATCTTAATTAAAGACAATTTTCTGAACAATAAAATATTAAAAATAAGAATGTAATGAAGAAAAAGTTATAAATATAATAATGAATAAAGGTTAATATCCCTTAATGTAATTAAAATGTGGTGCAAATATAACCATCCTTAAAACATATTTTCTCAAAAAATTATATATGTTATAGATTAGGGTAATTATATTGAGACTACATTTTTTGCACTATTTTTTAATTGCAATATTGGTCTCCAAACTTTTCTTATTTTCGTATTTATGTCTCCATCTTGTTCGTATTCCTGAAACTTCCATTCATTAACGTGTGTAGTCCCTGATAATGATTCATACCTAAATATTATTTTAGCAGGCTTTAAAATAAGAGTAAATTGTATTTGTTGTTTTTTATTTAAAAATATTATGAACAAATAAGGTTTTTTCTGCTTCTTAACAGAGTTTTAGGGTAGAAACCTGTTGGAATGTGGAAGCGGAATTAACCAGAAATTAAATTTTTTTTAAATTCAATAAGCAAAATAGTCTAGATGTTCACGTATATGTTATATCAAAGATATTAAATTCGAATTTTTACATAAATTCGATTATCAATTTTTGAATAAATTTTGAATCACGAACTTTTAACTTTTTAATTTCAAGAACTTGATACTTCAAACTTTCAAGTCTTCTATGGTATTCTCCAAAGTCAAGTCTACACCGACGTGTAGCACCGTCTTTTAATTAATCCAGAAACTAATTCATGAATTTGGATAATTGGAAAGCAAGAAAATAAATACTCTCTCTCTCTCTCTAAATTTGAATTCTATGGAATTATGAATTATATGTGTTGTAAAAATTTTCTGGCCATCTAGTCTCTATTTATAAAAAAATAAAAATAAAAAAATGATACAATTCTAGTACAATTATAATTTCATATTCAAACAAGAGTTCTAATTAAAACCCAAATAGGAGTTTTAATTTAGGAAAAATTTCATAATTAAGAGTTTAAATATCACACATTTCAAAATTAAGAAAACAAGTTTCAAACTTCAGAAATCAGATTTTTATTAAAATTTATTTATGATTTAATTAATTATTTTATTAGTTAAATATATTTATGTCACAGATTTATAGAATTTAATCACAAATTAACAATTTAATTAGTCACTTATTATTTCTTGGTCAAAAATCCAAAAATTTATGTCACAAATTATTTTACAATCACAATTCAAAAATTTGTAGGTCACAATTTGTTCATGAGTTACAAATCAAAACATTAGTTAGTCACGAATTAATTTTTAATAACACTTATCAATTTATTGATCACAATTTATTTCTTAATTACAAATTAAAAATTTTATAAGTCAAAGATTACTTTTCGATCACAAATCAAAAATTTTACAGGTCACAGATTATTAATAGGTCACAGAGTCAAAACTTTTATTGGTCACAACTTATTTATTCATTGAAAATTTTTGGTTTAATTGGTCACGATTAATTTTTTCGGTTACAACTTAATTAATCGTGAGTCACAGTCACAATTTTCAATCAATTTATCGATCACAAACAAAGTACAGCACGGCACCACTTCACCACCACCACCATCATCCCACCCACCCTAACCTACTCTGCCACTGTCGCTACCATATCACATCGCCACCAACGATCGTCACACAACACAAAAATGCATAAACCGAGGTAAACACCACCTCGCCATCGCAACAAAATCGCCACCATCTCATCGGACTTCACAACAAAATGTCATGCCACGACCACCAACAACATCACCAGCATCTAGCCGGACTACCAATGGCACCACCACCTCATCGCCACAACAAAATCATCGCCATGGTCACACAAAAACCTCATCAAATTAGATCCACAATAAACCAGCTCTCCTCACTGCAAACACCACGACTTCAATACCGTCAACAACCAAATGCTATACCACATCACCACCACCACGACTTGCAGCACCGACAAAACTTCTACGACGGCTACACTTCCATCAGTAGTCGTCGAGCGACGTTGTCGTCGTGCACAAAGCAGTAGGGAATCGCATCCGCTGCCCAAGGTGTTGGGATCGAGTTTGCCGCTGAATCATTGCCAGAACAATGTGCCATGTTCAAAAATTGGTGGAGCCTTCTTGTCTTCTAGAAGGAGTGGTGAGAAATTTTTTGGTAGATTGGGAAGAAATGAGAGAATGAGAAAGACGAAGGTAGAGAGAAAGAGAGATCCAGGCAGAGAAAAAATAAGCTAGAAAATTAGGGTTTTCTGATTTTTGAATAGTAAAACTTTCACCTGATTTTAGAATGTGAAATTTTTAAAGTATGGTATTGTGTAATTTTCATTTTAATTTAAGTCTAATTCCAATTAGTTTACATTTAATTATATGTAGTCCTAGAACTTTAATTACAATTAAAGTTTACAACTTTTATAGTAATTACAACTAAGTACAAAATTTTATTGTAATTACAATTAAGCCCAAAACTATTATAATTGCTGTAATTAAGTTCCAATACTTTATGGAGCTACCACAGGGACCTGATCGGACATATATTATCCAAGCTACAATAATTAGATCATATCCAGTCGACCTAGACCACTCAATCTAATTATTAGTTTTTGTTTTTTCCACTAAAGACAAAAGACTGAACTTTTGGAATATATAAGATCACAGAAGCCAATAAATTTATAATACTTTCATTTGACCTGTCGTACATGTATTTTATCCCGTCCGAGATCCGATAATTAGGTACGATTATTAATGATCGTTTTGCTCTTCTAATTATTCTCACTAACTTAAATTTCATTTTTTTCAACGGTTCTGTGAATTAATCATAGATGTTGAAGTTTAGCCGTCGCTAAACACAAAACTCATATTTTAATCGTTTAACAAAAAATATTTAAGTAGTCACTCTACCAATTTTTCAGGGCGACGGTTTCCGACAAGAATTCATGTTGTCTACTCCGCTCATTCTCAAATTCCCAACTCATCGAGATAGTTGATCAATCAAATTGATCTCACCCATTAATGAATCAAATAAACATTAAAATCACGAAAATATATACATAATTATATCAATGGATTTAGATGAAATACATAGCGATCTAGTGGAATTTAATTCTCCGCATGGTCATGCTATAGAATTAAATTCGACACGCAGTCCATTCAATACACTTCAAGTATACTAGTGTCATTTTTAACTATTTCTGTGATAAGGACAAATCACAAACTCGAATAGTAAATTGATCAACACTACAATCTTTCAATACAAGGTGTCAACCCTTATACATAGATTATGAATAAATTATTTATGATCAAAATATAAGTTGTATCACACTTTACTTATCAACGCAAGTACCCAACTTATATTATCTCAAGTGATCATAAGCACTTTAATTTGCATGCTTAATAATAAATAATATAATAAATAAATAAAATTACAATTTATTTATTATAAATAATTATTTTATCACAGCAAAATATGATATATGGGCACACAACCCAACAAAACCATCATCAGTAACGAAAGGTACTAATTGATGAAAATTTGATAATAGTAATGCAACAAAATAATCTAGGATACAAGTGCGATAACCTTTGATGCAATTAGAAAAAATATGCAAGCATAGTGAATAGAAAATTGCGGTGACAAATTCTTAGAGAGAGAGAGAGAGAGAGAGAAAAGAAGATAATGATGGCTTATTTTTTTACTGTTTCAAACGAACGTCCGGAGGTGCATACAGTAATAACTGCCACACGAGGTCTAATGAAAATAGAAAAAAGGTCGGAGTAATTTGAAATTTCAAAAATGTTTGCATAATGGGATTTGTCGTTCATTCAGATCTCTAAAGTTGAAGTTCTCGGGTAATCTTTTGTTATTCATTCTACTCTCCTCTCTTCTCTTTCTACATGCAACCAAAAGGCAACGAAAATGGATAGAAAATCCTCTTCTTCTTTATTTATTTATTTATTTATTTTTTGGATAAATAAACATTTTGTTGAGTCACGGTAATCACAATGCAGAACCCAAAATTTTGTCTGTATTAATACTATTATATTTACGTTTAATTTACAAACCCAATTCTGATTTACGCGAGCTCATGTCATGGTATTGATAATTGAATTTATTGAATGATTTCACAGAGAAATCTCAGTATGCATTATATAGGATTCTGGAATGGGTAGTCGATTTGTGTGGAACGAGATTATACATCTGAAAATATGGGTTTGTTTTCTCAATTATATGTTCAAGTATTGTGATCGAGCAATTGGTAACTAACAAATATTTTTTTATTGTATTGCATCTTTAAATTTGATAGAGGCATTTTTTGTTTATAGGAAGAACTAAAGAGGATTTTCATCTTGTGTTTGAACGTATAAGTTTATGTTCACATCATTAACTTCTTGGATTCATTCCTTTTTTATGCTTTGGTTCAGAAGGATTGCTTACATTTTCGAGCAGAAATGGAAACGCATCTGTGGAAGGAATCCACGAAGATCTTTGGGAACCATATCGATCCTGTAAAAGAAGAGCAACTGGAATGGATAAAAATAGGTAAACAGTCATCCCCAAAACAACCAACCCAGTCGTCAATTTTATTAGAGAATGTGGGATACTGACATAACAACGCATTTTTTACTTTTTACTGCAAATATTGCTATTGGTCCCCCACTGAGATTGAATCCCAGTCTACATGACTGCACAATCAACATCTAGATGCCAAAATTTTGTTTTAAAGCAAAAACGTAATTAACTTGTTTTCCCAAAAAAAAAAAAAAAAAAAAAAAAAGAAGAGAGAGACCTGTTCAACTTCTTAATGGCACGAAAGAATGAAACTATAGAACCTGCCCATTATTTCTCTCTCTCTCTCTCTCTCTCATCTTCTCCACCACCGTACTCCGACGACGGCACCACCGGAAGTTCACAAGTATAGACTCAATACTGATTCTTGTTATTGTAAGAGTATGTTGACTTTGAGATATTCTACTTTATGTTCAAAAGCGTACATTTATGAACTTTAGTTGAAGTCTTGAAATCAGTTCTTAAACCAAAAATTGCCCAGCTTTGAACCATTTGGCGCATTTCCAGTGCCACCTCCATCGTTTTGGCTTCTAAAAGTAATAAAGTATGCTGTTTGATGTTCATATCTAAAATGCAAAGTTCCATTTTTATTGCAGAAATTGAGAGTAAAGTGAAAAGGATTTTGAAGCTAGCGAAAAATATAAATCAAGGAAATAAAGATGGGATTTCGAAGAAAAAATCTGAACTTGTTCACCTCGTTGAAGATTTCCAGAAGCATTATGAATCCTTATACTCTCTATATGAAGATTTAAGAGGAGAGGTGAAGAAAAAGGTTAGTGGAGATGATTATGAAAGTTCTGCTTCCACCACAGATTCAGAGTTGTACTATTCTCCAGATGAGTTGAATGATAAAGACGGTAGTGAGAATCCAGAAGTGCCAGATGGTGATCGTCACGAACTTGAAACTTCAGATTTCGAAGATACTATTCTCAAGGACAAGTTAACTTCTAAAAGTGAAGTGAAGGAAACCATAATTTTGGGTTCAGAGTCATCTTTCAGCAATTTTCTGCAATCCAGGGAAATTCTTATGGACCTCGGGATTCAAAATGATGAGTCCGAAAGTACAAAGAAAGTATTATTGGATTCATCTGTCTTGTTAAAGAGAAAATTGGTTGAAAGAGAGGAACTGTTGTCGCTCGTGAAAGAGTTAGAGGGCCAGGTTGAAAAATGGAAGCTTCAGACTGAAACGCTGTCAACGCAGAAAAGAAAACTAGAGGAGCAAATTAAGTGCAAGTCGAATGAAGCTGAGGAATTGAAGGTACAAAATTCTAGATTGGAGGCTCGTGTTTTGGAGCTCGAAGCTACATTCAAAGAGAAAGAAAGTCAATTTTCTGATGTGGGAAAAAAATTCGAGGAAAATAAGAAGTTCTATTTGTCTAGAATTGAAAACCTCGAGGCTCAGGTGAACGATCTGCAGCTTGAAGTAAAAACTTCATACGCTCAGACAGACAAACCGGAAGAACAGTTGTCATTCGAAGACCTAGCGGAAAGAGTTAATCTTTTACAGCAGGAACTGGAGTGCTTGAGAAGTCAGAAAGCTAGATTGGAGTTAGAACTTGAAATGAGATCAAAAGAAACATCAGAATGCCTAATTAAGATCGAAAATTTGAACGATTTAGAACTTGAGGTTCGTTCTTTAAGTAGTCAGAAGAGTGACTTGGAAGATCAGATAATGAGCATAAATCATGAAGCTTATCAATCACAGGCAGAAAATGAAGATCTGCATGCAAAAAAATTCGAATTGCAGAAAATACTTTCAGAAAGAGAAAATGAACTGGCTACGCAAATGAGGAAACTTAAGGATAACCAACAAACTGAAAAGGACAGATCGCAGCTGGAGTCGAAAACCTTGCAAAATGAGAAGAGCAGATTACAGATGGAGCTTGAAAAAGAGAAATCTGAGAAAGAAAAAAGGATAATTGAGTTAAACAACAAAATTTGTGATCAGCAGAGGATTCAGATAGAACTGGAGGATATGGTGAGCAAGTTAAAAGACGAAAACAAACAAGTTCAATCAAGGTTGGCAGATTCCAAGTCGAACTTCTTGATAGCCGAAAGGAAGGTTGAAGAAATGGTAGAAGAGCTGAGAAAACAGTTTGAAGACAATCTCAGAATCTTGAGCCGTAGAATTAGGGTCGCAGAACAATTGCATATGGAGAACAAAGATTGGTATAGGAAGAAAAGGGAAATGTACGAACAAGAAAACCGAGATATATTACACGCAGCAAAGGACGTGTTGAATTCCTTAGATACAGTGACATTAAAGCTTGAAGAGTGTAATGCAAATTTCTTGAACCGAATTTCAAAAGCTTCTTGCGAGCTGAAATTCGTTAAGGATTTTGCAATGAGGAAAAACAATACATTAGTACACGTAAGGGACGATTTAGATTGTTTGATCGCGCAGTTAGACGATAAGGAAGCTGAAATACTAGTATTCAGAGAGAGGCTTTGGAAGGCAGAAAATAAAGTGAGAGAAGTGGAGAAAATGATAGAGGAGAAAGAAGAAGCCATGCTAATACTTCAAGAGGAAAAGAGGGAGGCAATTAGGCAGTTGTGTGTATGGATAGACTATCACCGCAGTCGGTCCGATTATTACAAGAAAATGTTGTCCGATTTCACTCCACCTTGTAGGAGGACGGCATCTTAGGTACAGTGGAGGATGACAAGTCGACGTCTAATTTAACTTTTGCCATCAGATTTTTGCCATTTTTGTCATCATTCACCACCAATTCTGTTCATTCTTTCTACATGAAGACAGTTTATGTTGAATAAAGATTTTAGGGGCCTGCCATTACAGTTGGATACCACCTAATTTTGTTGGGGCAGGCTTAATTTTGCACCAGGGATTTGATCAAACTGAGCATTCGTAATAAAGTGTAAAGATTTTTTTCAGCTGTACTTTACTGTCAATGTTTAAAAAATCGACCCTTCGACCAAAAATAAGTTCGACTACAACAAATTGGCGCAATCAAATACCAACACGATAAGTAAAGTTAGTTTACATATCGTATATGCCAAACTCATCTCTACAATAGGATAATATCAATTATATTCTTTATCGTCCAATGATTCACGTGGGTTAACGAAGAAAGAAAAATATGTATATGCCCATCTCGGCCTAATTCAAAATAGGTAACGTCCATGAATCATGTCGACCTTTAATAATTTTGTACGAATCAAGGGTCACCTCAATATTTGATCGGTGCAATCTACTTTAAGCTTATCGCTTTGATATTATATATCTTTTATAAAATTATAATAGATAAAAATAACACAAAATACGTCGTCTCGAGACGATACATATAGAATTATAACAGGACAAACAATAATAATAATAATAATAATAATAATAATAATAATAATAATAATAATAATAAAATCTCCACGTCCTCACAAATGTAGCATGTTCTATAAATTTAATAGCTTATAAAATGCATTGAATCATCTCTTTCTGTACACACATATATATTTCAAGACAAGCTGATAGAAGATTCTATAGTGTTCGTGTGAGATTTTTTATGCTCTGTTTTTCAGGTAATTCGTTTTTATTATCTTTAATTTTTTGGCTTAATTTGTTCAGTTAATGCTAAATTATCGAGAGCAACTTGCGATTTCAGTTTCTGCTACGCTCTGTTTGATTAATTAAGCTAATAATTCTTCATTATGATTTTCGAGCTGAAGAAGAATTCATATATATAATTGCTTATTTAAATTCGAGATTTTTTTTACCTGTACTTTAAAATCAATTTAAATCATCTGTTTTGGCTTAACCGACTTCATCAGTTGTGTTTTCAGTGCATCGCTAATTCACAGTCGAATTTTAAATTTCTCATTCCGTTTGATTCTACCATTTCTATCTGATTTTTTAATAATTTATAGATTAATTTTTAAAATTTATGTTTTTTTGCATTTCAAACTCATACATTTAAATTTAATTTAACTGAACAGAACCATGCAAGCACCGAAAAGAAAGAAAATTGATTATTTATTTATTTATTTATTTATTTATTTTGAATGAGGTTTGCATTATGTTATTATCTCGGTAAAAAAAAATAGAACATACGTTTGAAATTAACAAAAAAGAAAGTATTTTCCGTTTTCTAATTATAATGTATGCTGTTATTTATAGCCTATTTGGGAGTGATTTTTTGTCCCAAAAAATTGATTTTTGACTGTTATTTCACTATTTCAGCCGTCATATTTGACTTCTTCTCTCATAGGTGAACCTCACTTTTCTTCTAACGGTCAATAAAATCAATTCTAAAAATCACTCCCAACCAGATAAAGAGTCACACTTTAACTGGTACATCAGGAAAATATTAGAAAACCAGTCTTCTCAGATGAAAGACAACAGATATTAGAAAATATATAAATCATAATTTAATTTAGTTGTATCCATCTTTTTTATTTTTTGTGCATTAATCATCCAGATTCATTAACTGACTTTATTACTGAGCCATTTCCTCATTAAACCTCCCTCTCAAATGGCAGTGGGGTTAAGCTAATTACTTATTACTTAGATAATGTGGACCATGTAGTTCTAAGCCTTTATGACATGGGCTTGAGAAACTGCAGTTATGTTCACATGTTGATGCAGCCAAGAATTTATGGCACTTAAAGAATTTGTTGGCATGGTCTGCTTGGACAAACAGAACTTGACAAGTAAATTGTGTATTTACAACTTCAGGTATTCAAGATGAAAACTGCCTCATACTGATTCACAACCCAACAAGAAGCTGAGAAATGCCGAAACCTAGTTTGAGGAAATCGTTTAAATCCTTTTTTCAAAGTAATGTCGATCCTGAGAAGGACGAGAGAACTAAATCAGGTGCATCATTTTTGGCATTAGTAATTCCAATTTTAGATCACTACATTTTTCATGGTTGACATATTAAACTGCTGTTCACTGCAGAAATGGAGGGCAAAGTTCAGAAGATCTTAAATATTCTTAAAATGGAAGATGATAAAGATGGGAAAGAGAAACTTAAGGATATGATACAAGATTTTTACAATCAGTATTGTTCGTTGTTTGATCGCTATGATCATCTGACTGAAGCATTGAGGAGAAGATCACATGCCAAACAAGGATAGCATGGTTCATCTTCCAGCTCAGATTCTGACTCAGACTCAGATGATTCTCCAAAGAAAAAAGGCACAAGAATTGGGAAATTCGAGAATGATTTCAACAACAGCACAGGTAACACCAAGCAAGAACTCGAGATTGCATACAGTTTAATTAGGGAGAATGAGGCTGCGATATATAGCACTGGAGAGGGGGAGAGAAATGCTGAAGACTTGAGAACCAATATCCAACAGTTAAGACAAGAGAATGAAGCACTGCAGCTAGAATTAGAGGTCAAGGTGGGGGCATTTTTGACTTTGAAGGGGCAACTTGAATCTGCAGAAAAGGATGTAGCTAAGCTAACTCAGATACAGAAAGCCACTGAAGAGGAGAACAATTCCCTTTCCTCACAAATTTTACTGCTCGAGGATGAGATAAAACAGTCACGAAAGACAAGAGTTCAAGAAACTTCCGAGTTGCTGACTCAAATTGAGACTATTAAAGAGGAGTTGATGAACAAGATTTCTGGGCAACAGAAAACATTGGAAGAGAAAGAAAAGTTTGCAGTACTGGTGAGGGACCTAGAACTGAAAATCAACTCTCTAAGTAACCTCAAAAGTGAATTGAAGGAGCAGTTGAGGACAAAAAGCCAGGACGTTATTCAGTTGCACGAAGAGAAGGAAAAACTGAAAGTTCAAAATAGTGAACTGGACAAACAAACAAGTAATATACAGGACAAGGGAAATAAATTGAGGGAGGAGATGGTGGTTCAACAGAACAAAATTTCCGAATTCCAAAAAATATTATCCGAGAGAGAGGATGAACTCATTGCCCTACAGACAAAACTGTACAATGTGCAAAATGAAGCAGCCTTTCAAATTACTGCACTATCAGAAGAAGTTAATCATTTACGAGAGGAGAAGGAACATTTGTGGTCCGAGAAAAGCCTATTGGAAGTGCAAATTGAGAGGAGTAACCAGGAGTCTATGGAAAGCTTGGCTCGACTGGAGTATCAGAATACTGAATTACAAAACAAGATCAGAGACAAGGATGAAAAGCTGAAAGAACAAGAGGATACGTTCATCAAATTGAGTGAGGAGCACAAAAAACTAGAAGCCCAGTTTCAGAACTCCGAGGAAAATCCTAAAACTACAGAAAGGAACATGGAAGAGATTAAAGTGCAGTTCCAAAAGGATGTTGATCGATTGGAAGAAAATGTAGAAGACTTGAAGAGAAGTTTAGAGATGAAAGGAGATGAGGTCAGTACTTTAGTAGAGAATCTCCGAAATACTGAAGTTAAGCTCCGTTTAACAAGTCAGAAGCTCCGGGTCACAGAACAATTACTGGCCGAGAAGGAAGATAGCCACAGAAGCAAAGAAGAGAAGTTACAAGAACAACAAAAATTGCTTGTCGAAAGGGTTGCTACGATGACTGGAACAATTGAAACTTATCAGAAGGCTCAATTAAACACAACAAAGGAGATATCAAAAATGGTAAACGACACGTTGACTGGAATTGAATCATTTAGTGTCAACTTTGAGGAACGCTATGGCCACTTGGAGTCTAGAATTTGTGAAGTCATGAACAAGCTTGATATTGCCACAAACTGGATCAAAGAGAGTAATGGTGAGAAAAATTGCCTCAAAATGGAAATTGCCAATTTTATTCAGCAACTGAAAGACAAGAAAGAACAAGAGTTGCTTTTGAGAGCGAAGGTTGGAGAACTCGAGACAAAAGTGCTAAAGGATTCAAATGAGAAGGACATTTTGACGAAAATATTAAAACAAGGGGAAGAGAAGATGTCAGAACTCAAGAAATTGATCAAAGAACAGGATGAGAAATTGGAAGTCTTAGAAAGAGAGATCAATAAGAAAGATTTGGGATTCTTGACCCTGGCTGAGCAGAAAAGAGAGGCCATAAAACAACTGTGTATTTTGATTGATTATCACCGGAATCGATATGATGATCTGATCTCAAAACCGGCTCGTGGAAGAAGGCAGATAGCCACTTAATGTTCATGGTAACTTTATCAAGGCTTGGTGTTTTTTTTGAATAAGTCGATAAACATGGGAATTGCCTCAATGAGTACAAGAAATGATTGCAATTTGTTTTGATCATATTTGCATTTCATTCGCATTTATCACTGTTGCTAATCAATTCAGGGTGCAAAAACACGACTTAGCCCACAGATTGAGCTTGTCGAAATTGACATGGGATAGGCTCAAAGGCTTCACGTAGATAGGAAATGGGCACCCTCGAGCTCCTCAACCATAAAATGCCTAAAGCATCTACAGGTGTCTTAGAAAGAGGATAATGCTTATCGGGGATTGGAAATGAACGAGAAGAAATCCAAAATGCTAAGAACATTTTCAAGAGACTCTTTATTTTTAAAGAACATATTCTATCATTTAAAAAGCATCTATAAATTTAAAGAGTTAAAATTTTAAAATATTCCAACAAACTCTTTATATTTAACATTTAATTTTAACACTCTAAAAAAATATTTATTATTTTTCTTTATCTTTTATTGTAATTAAGTTTTCTGTAACTTATTTCATTATTTTCCCACATTGAAAATTGAAACTCTTTCAATGAATTTAATTATAGAGAATGGATTTGACTTTTCAAATTTGAAGAACCAATCCAACTCGCTTGGACAATGATAGTAAGAATTGACTTTTTACAATAGAGAGCATCACATGTTTAAAGAATCTTTTCAATATGCTCTATGAAAGTTTTATTAAATCTT